GAGCGCGCCCCGCCCAGCCTCCGAGCTCTCCAAGACCCCCCCCTCGACAGCCCTGCCCTTCGATCTGGGGACGAGGATTTGATTCGACTCGCCAGGCCAGACCTCCAGATATTCATGCACGACTCGCGGCGGCGATCGGGACCGCCCGTCTCTCCATCTATTCGTTTCCACACGCAGTGTCTCCCATGTGGCGACGAGGCCCCGGCCGTGATGGCGAGGAGCGACGCGGGAACCCCTGGGTGGTTGGCCCAGATGTCGGGCCGCGTCCCTCGGCAGCGTGGCTCTCTGTCGCGGCCTGCTGCGCGCACGGGCGCTCGCCGCCGCCTGCCGCCTTCCGAGGGAAAGCTTTTGTGTGTAAAGAATCGAGAAGTCAACGCAGCAGCTGCAGCAAGAAAAGCGCAACAACAGTCCGCACTGCGGAGCCCCAATTCTGCTAGGACGCCCGATCTCGCTCCACGCCAAGCGCGTGATGGCCGGCCGCTCGCTGCTGTAATCATTGTTGTCATACCATATGGTGTGTGCCATGGTTCGCCGTGAAAGATTTGGCGACGCCGTCGAAGACGAGGACGGCGTCCTTTCTCCTTTCTCGGAATCCACGGGGCGCTCGCTGGCCCTCGGAGGAGGGAGTCCGCGACGCGGAGACGCTTTTTTGTCCTGCTCTCGCTCCGCATGGAGCGCCCCCGGAGACGCCCAGCCCAGGAGCTACGCAGAGGTTCGCATCTGCTTCCCGTCGGGAGGCAGGCGGCAGTAATGTGAGAGGCACAGCCGTCGGCGGAAGGTTGGCGGGAGTACGTCTTGTGTTTCCAACGCATGTCATTGTGTAGTGATCTTTGGCCAGTGCCGCCGATCTGGGGCGGTCCCAACGCTGTCGAAAATTCCGGCGACGACGACGAACGCCGAATTTCCACAGAATGACGACGACGTCCGTTGACAAGGACTGGCCGCAACGACGACGAGGACGACCGACCACGACGATAGACGACTCACGCCTGGCGCCTCCAACAGCTGTCATGCTTGTTTGGATGCAGGGCTTCTGGAGCAGGCCACCTCACCCCCCCGAGTTCCCCCCCCGGAGGAGGCAGCCCTTCCTGCTGGTGGCCGTGCCACAAATCCCCAGCCCCCCAAGCGTGGGGAGCCACGGCTGCCTGGGGGTCCGCGTGCGGGAACGGGGGGCCAGGCGCGGAGGCGGGGAGGCCTCGCGGGAGGCCTCTCCTCCTCCTCTTCCTCCTCCTCCTCCTCCTCCTCCTCCTCCTCCTCCTCCTCCTCCTCCTCCCTGTGGTGGGACGGCGGGCGGCCTTCTGACGGGGGCAGCTGCGCTGGTCTGCTCCGAACCCCCCCCCTGCTGCCTTCCCGACGAGGCCGCAGCAGCCTCGCCGGAGGGGCAGCAGGGGGGGGCGCCTGGGAGGACCTCGGGGGCCTGCCCCGGTCGCCCCCAGCTCTGGTCAGAGGGCCGCCCGCCCCCAGGTCGCCGGGCCCCACCCCCCCGAGCATCCGACGTCACCTATATCTAAGAGCAAGGTTGTTTTTCGAACTATAGGATATATGATGTCAAATAAGAGATCGACGTCTCCTATTTCACATCTGTACATACATACATGCGAACGATCATCAACATATCAAATACGTAGAGACATACGTCGATACATACACATATACATACGCACATACGTGCATACGTATAGCACTGCATGCACACACTAATATAAACATGCGTCGCCACACACTACGTATATTTGCATGCGTACATCTATACACACTCTCTCACACACGTACACATACACACATACACATATACACATACACATACATACATGCACTCGTACACATACACACACACACCTACACACACATGTGTCATACGTACACACACCTACACACCCATGTTTGCACGCATACGCTGAGACACACACACGCATACATACATACACACATACACACATACACGCATACACACATACACACATACACACATACACACATACATACATACATACATACATACATACGTACATACATACCTACATACATACATACATACAGGCTCGTACACATACCTGTTCATGTGTGCACATACACCCGAGTAAGAATACCAGACGGCCCGAGGCAGCCCCAAGAGGGCCAATTTTTTCCCAGAGCGTCCCAAGATGGGCCTCCAAGACGTCCCAAAGACGGCTCCAAGACGGCTGCCAGGCGGCGCCCGAGACAGCCCCAAGACAGTCCAAGATTGCCCAGCACGGCCCAAGATGGGCCTCCAAGACCTCCCAAAGAAGGCTCCAGACGGCCCCAAGACGGCACTGGAACATTCACGTGGGGATGGCGAATGGTGCCGAAGGCATGGCGACTGAATGTTCCATCGTTTTCCTGTGGAACAGCAGTTCGCTGTTCGCTCATCAGCCAAAGTGAAACAACAAGTATTTATATGTAGCTGTCTCTGACAGCGTGCGTGGATGGCAAGTCTTGGCGACTTCACATACGATGCCGACTAAATCTTCATCCGAGTATGTCCAGTAGAACCTGGGGTTCATGAAGCTGGCCTGTGTCTCGCACAGGTGCAGCCAAAGGTGAAATTTCGGAACCAGTTTCCAAAGCTTCTTGTGTGACCGCGCAGCCTCAACACTCAACGCGTTGTACAAAATCACAAGGCGTTTCCCCAACTGCTTTAATTCATCTACTGCGGAGGGTGTTAAAAACATGTCTTGGCTCTTCAAGATGCAATAAAACCTATCCAAAATCTCAGCCACTGCTAATCTTCTTTTGGCATGCACAGTTCCATCGTTGTACTTACGCGCCAAATACACTGCGTACCCTGACATGTGGCGCGAATCGGCAGCTTTGGCTTTGAATTTTGCGTAACCGCTCGAGGACCGCAAACGCGCAAGAGTAATCTTGCCTTGAAGGTGATTGAATCCACTTCGCTGCTGCCTTTGCCACTCCCTGTGGTCTGCATGAAGGGCGGTAACTTGCTCCTGCTGATTTGCGCCCATGTGGGCCATACATTCCCACATGATCGAACCGAGGACGTGCGAGCAGACACCCTGATCGATGGCGTGGAGCACATCGATCATGCAGTACTCGAGCCTGAACCCAACCACTTTTCGAAATAACATGGGAAGCTCTTGCCCTTTGGCGCGCAACTCAGCTTCGTAGCTCTCTGTAGTTCTCAGCGTGTGGCGCCAGCCTGCTTGATCGGTAGCATCAGTAAACCTCGTCTCTGGATAAATGATGCTGGCTTTGCAGAGCCAGCAATTGTTTTCTTGCGTATTCTGCCGAGGGAAATCCAGAACTTCAGCGTAAAAATCCCAGTCACCACGTAGTTGACATAAACAGCCAGAGAAGTTCCCAGCCGACGCCAAGCCACCCAAAAGAATAGTCATGGATTCTCCGAAAATGTCCCACAATGCGTCCCATGCTTCTTTGGAAAGCTGCGATTTTCTTATGATGGCGAAAATCATCTTCTTCGACCTTGTGTCACCAAGGCCGAGGATACTGTTCCAGGAAACAACATACACCGACTCGTTGTGCGAATATGAACCCCCATCACCGTGCAGCCCAAGAGGAATTGTTTTGTAGAGCAACCGCTTCGGTCGATTGCGCAATGTCGGATTCCAAAATCCCACCAGTCCTCTAGGGCTACGGTGGTATGACGAGTTTGTTTTTCTCTCTTCCCCCTCCTTCCCCTGCTCGGGGGAGGGGTTTACCCCTCCCCCTACCCCCTTCCCTTGACCTGGAGGGGGGGGGGGCGGATGCGCCGCGGCGTCCAAGATGGCCCAGGATGGCTCCAAGAGGCGCTCCAAGTCGCAAGATGGCCTCCCAGATGGCCCAATGTACCCCAAGACGGGTCAAGATAGCCTCCGACATGCCTCCAGGAGGCCCCAAGACAGCCCCAAGACGGATCCAAGTGCCCTTCGAGCCCTCCACGGTGCCTTCCAACATTCCAAAACCTTTCAAAAGCATAGGGAACATCAATGTTGTTGGCATTCTCGCCTTTTCGTGTCCGATGGGCCTCTGGGGCCCCAAGATGGCCCAAGAGAGTCCCCAGAGGGGCCCAAGAAGGCCCACGACGGCCCCAAGATCGCCCAAGAGGCGCCCAACAGCGGCCCAAGAGAGCCCCACGGCGCCAGATTTGAGCCTCCGAGGGGGGGGGGTCCTAACTGAGGGACTTCCTGTTTTGAGCCATGGGGCCCAAGATGGCCCCAAGAGGCCTCCCAGCATCCCCCAACGACCCTCCACCCCGCCCGTCTTGGCCCAAGATGGCTCCAAGATGGCCCCAGATAGCCCAAGATGGCCTTCAACATGGCCTACGATAGCCAAGCATGGCTCAAGCTATCCTCCGACAGCCTTCCAAGATGCCTCAAGGCAGCCTCAAGATGGCCCAAGAAAGCCGAGCATGGCTCAAAACAGCCTCCGACAACCTCCAGCCGAGCATGGCTCAAGATAGCCTCCAAGAGGCCTCAAGAACACTGGCAAACAATTATGGGTGGGCTGGTGGGGGTACGCGAAGCGTCAATAATTTAATTTGTGCACCTGTTGATGTGGTCCAGAACTCTCTGCAATCATCTGCACCACCCAAAAAAGATTTTGCAAATTCGTCTGGCCTCTCCTTGTGAAACTGCTCGAACAGAAGATGGGGCATCACTACGGGAAACATAGCCATTCCACTCTTCAGTGGCAATCGTCTCCAAGTAATTGCTGGTGCCCCCAAAGGGGTCCCAATGGCTTGGCATAGATCTCGGAACATGTTACCTGGGAGGTGACCTGCTGCCCCTATCCGCGCCATGTTGTCAATGCCTATCGCTCCTTGACTCTGCGCGCTCATGGCTATTTCCTGCACGTCTGCCGAGCTGAGTTCAGCCCTGGCCCACTTCCTCTTGAGGGTCTCATTCAAAGGAAGTGCACACGAACCATCGCCGATCGAGCTGTGCTTGGCCTCGAGCTCTATTTTCTCATGGCTGCCCAACCTGCGACGGACCCCAGGCGGCACTAGGTCAACACATGGCGAA